TATATATATATATTCGTTCTACCAGTTCTGTTTCTTTGGAGAACCCAGACTAATACACACACATTCTAAAGCTTGTCATCCAAACTCTGGAGTTAAAACATGAATCATTGAAAGGACTCAGACCCAACTCAAGAGCAGAGGGCCTCAGCGTATCATGCTCCTCTTTTGAAGTCCCAGTCCGAAGACTTTAGGACATATGGGAACCCTGTTCTTATTCTCAGCTGCCACCTGTAGGAAAGGCCCGATCACCTAAAACCTAGATGACTCTTCTCACCTCCACCCAGACTTCCCAAACAGTTTCTAGTGAACTCTGTTCTACAAGAGACCAACCTATGTTGCTCATGTACACTCCACTTTTCTGCCCTTTTAGGGTATTTTCTCATGCTTTTTGAAAATTACTCTTTTTCAAGAGACGTGGGTAGGAGATGCCATAAATGAATACAACTATCTACTCTGCTCAGGAGCAGAAAGAAATGACTAGGCTCACAAAGACAAGGCAAGGAAATGGAAGGGAAAAAGTAAGGTCCCCCCAGAGCACAGGCTTGTCCATATCTACTCCCAAGAGAAGCCTTGCTAGTGTCAACTCTCCTCTCTGCTTTCAGCATAGATGCCTCCTGGACTGTGCGTGAAAGAACTGTGCTGCCCAATTTATCCAGACCTGTCCATAGTAAAGAAAATGTAATTGTTGCTCATGGTGTGTGAAGAAGTAAAGGGGATTGGCTTCTCTGGGTCACAGGTGATACACTCTACTGAGCTCAGTCTTCGGACCAAACAACCATCTGCCTTAGGGCTTCAGTGCATAAATCATAGCTGAACAAGTCAGTTCTGTGTTTTCTTCGGCCAGTAGCAAACTGCAACATCAAGTGATGTGCCATCAGTCGAAGACTTGGACTGTGTATTTATAGACAAATTGTCAGAGCTAGGGTTTTGTGATTTTGAGGAAAACTGCATTTGTCTGTTATTAAAAAGAAATGGAACCGATAAGGTGGGAACCCTTCAAGGCTGAATCTTGCTTCTGTTTATATTAACTGGTTGCTCTCTCAACTTCAGTGAGCATCTGAAGCAACTGACATTTTATTTAAAATGCAGAAGCCAGAGATCTTCTTTCTTTAGGTTCTCAAGCAGAACCCAAGAAACTGATTGCAACAAGCATCATCTTCCACCTCCAGGAGCATTATTTTGAAAAGCATAACTTCTAACTATGGCTAGAAACTCATTGGAATATTGATCTCTGGCATAGCAATTATCATTTCCAAAGTCAATTTTGAGATGCCAGAGAAAAGATACTATGATAGCTTACACTATCTTAGTTTGTCTACATTTTTGACTTCTGTTAGTGAGCCTGGATTGCTTTCTTTTGGGGGGTGGGAGGAGATGTGCATTGTGTGGTATATGTGTGTATGCACATGTGTGTGCTAACCCTTGAGAAGGCCGAAGGTTGACCTTGAGGTGTCTTTCCTCAATCATGTCTCCACCTTACTTTTTTTAGGCAGAGTCTCTCACGGACCCTGGAGCCTGCTGGCCAGGGAGCCCAGGATTGATTTGTCTCCACCCTTTAGGTATGCACCACCAATCCAGCTTTTACCTGGGTGCTGGACATCCAAACCTAGACCTTTATTTTTGTGCAGCAAACATTTTACCCACTGAGCCATCTCCCTAGTCCTGCCTCTGGAGTCGTTTCCACATGAGACTTTGTGAGGAGTAAAGCACAGTCTCATACCCAGAAGCGCAGCACTTAGAGCACCTTTCACAGCATCCCCAAATCTACTCCACACCCCAGCCTTAGGCTATGACTCGCTGATTTTCTGTAACTTTTTGTCAACATTTCTTATGCCTGTCTTTTGTGATCCCCCAAAATGGTTACAAAAACATTTTTTCTTCTCATTTTCCTTAAATAATACCAAGCTTCCCTATAGAACTATGCCACAGGCACTTGAAATGCTTTTGTTTAAAAGCCCTGTCTCCAACCCATAAATAATTAACAAGCTTTCTAAACAATTTATTTAACTATTGGTGTTTTTTAAGGTTCTAAAATGTTCAGCAGGCATTACTGCTGACCCCCTCAGGTTGTACATTGAGAGCCCATTCACTCACAGTATAAGTCTGGATTAAGTGGGACCAGATGACATTTCGATATGCTTTCCCATCAAGAGGCCCTTCAAAGTCACACAACAGATCCAAAGAGGCCTACAGATCCAAAGAGTAGGCAAGACCACGTCTCCAGAGATACTGGTGGTTGCTAAGGGACAGAGGGCTCTGAGTCCAGTCAGGAAAGTGTTTAATGGCATGGTTGGTACCTGGAATCTAAAATTGGTAGAATATAAATAGGTGCAGGTGAGGCACTGACAAGGCAGAAAGCAAAAGCTTAGGAGTTAAGACACACACACGTACACTCTGCAACCAGCAAAGCTAAAGAAAAGTTCACTTA